CAGTTTGTTCAATGTTGTCTGACTCCAGATATAAATGAAAGGCAGAATTGTGTCTTTAGAGTTGTAAATGCTTGCCTGAGTGTCTTTTATTTAGGTACATTTCTATTTTAAAAATAAAGGTAATTGTGACTATTAAAATTGTTCTTCATTAAAATTTCATGTAACTTTGTTATGGAAAAAAAAGTTGAAAGGAACCATTGGCGCATCTTCACTTTATAAAATTTGGCCCTCTTTGCAAAAGGTTTGGACACCCCTGTTTTACGTGCTTCTGAGTTTTTACGTGCTTCGGAGTTTGTCCGTGCTTCGGGGTTTGTACGTGCTTCAGAGACACACACACACACACACACACACACATATATATATATATGTGTGTGTGTGTGTGTGTGTGTGTGTCTCTGAAGCACGTACAAACCCCGAAGCACGGACAAACTCCGAAGCACGTAAAAACTCAGAAGCACGTAAAACAGGGGTGTCCAAACCTTTTGCAAAGAGGGCCAAATTTTATAAAGTGAAGATGCGCCAATGGTTCCTTTCAACTTTTTTTTCCATAACAAAGTTACATGAAATTTTAATGAAGAACAATTTTAATAGTCACAATTACCTTTATTTTTAAAATAGAAATGTACCTAAATAAAAGACACTCAGGCAAGCATTTACAACTCTAAAGACACAATTCTGCCTTTCATTTATATCTGGAGTCAGACAACATTGAACAAACTGTATAGAATACCCTAAGTTCCATGAGTTTGCAATCTTTGTCTATTGAACATTTAAACAGGAGTTATAAGTAATGAAAAGTGTTCTGTTATCAATAAAGTTTTTTTTAAAGTGAATTTTGCCTTTGACTTTTACAAGACCTTTCAGGAAGCCAAAATCTACTGGAACGTTGCACAACTGGAAGTTCACTTGCCGCAAGAAATAAACACATTTGTAAATTTACACAATATGTACACAACACACTCAACTATGAATTAAGAGCATAAGATCAACAGTTAAAACCAAATCTTAAGAGTTTAACAAAATACGTTTCCTTTTGTGGATTGCATTAGCGTGCTTTATGCTTTTTACTGTTCAGGAACACATGAGTAATGCAGGGATGTCACTCCTGGAGGGCTGCTCTTCATTTGATTCAACTGTGCTAAACCAGAAAGAACTAAAACATGCATAGCAGCTCTCCAGTACAGAATTTGGACATCCCTGGACTAATGAGAGGGGTGATACTGAGATCTAGATCTTAGTAAAGCAATCAGGTCTGGATTGAGGGCAGTGGTTGACATGCGTAAAATATCACACAAGTAGGAGTCACTAATCCTTGATCTCAATCGGTTCTTGTTTAAGTTCATGACAGAGAATGTTAGCTCACACAAATATGTGGAACCAAATAAGCTCAGCATTTTCTTAGCAAGAGATCGCACTTCAGGAAGCCTGCCGAAGTCAACAAAAGAACACTGCCGGTGTTTTCTGCGGCACTCATCATCACACTGCAGCTCAATGAGCTCCAGCTGAAGCTGCGGAGGAGCATCATCAGGGTCCATGGAGAAGGGAGATGAGAAAAGCAGCATGTCTTTTTCAATAGCTGCAAAGTCCTGAAAGCGTTTGTTAAATTCTCCAGAAAGAGACGCGATAGCTGTTGCGTACCTCTTCATTTGGACATTAATATCCACTGGGAAACTGTCAATAACCTCTTTCAAAGTTGGGAAGTGTGCGGTACAGGGCTCTGTTAGGGACAAGTGTTTTTGAAAAAGTTGCAGTTTGGTTCCAAAGGCCTTGATGTGAGCGTATAGTTGGCTCACCACTGCGTCTTTTCCTTGAAGATTAACATTCAGCGCATTCAGATGCTTCGTAATGTCAACCAAAAAAGCTAGATTTGCCAGCCATACAGGATCAGACATTTCTTCCATTGGTTGTCCCTTCTCATCTAAAAACTGTCTGATTACCTCTCTGAGAGAGAAAAATCACTGTAGTGCAGACCCCTGACATAGCCACCTCACATCACTGTAATAAATTACGTCACCATATTCAACCTGGATGTCATGCAGAAACTGCAGAAACTGCAGAAACTGCTGAAACTGTCGGTGGTACAGAGCTTTAGAGCGAATACAGTTGATTGTCTTTGCTACTGGTTTCATAACATCATCAAATTTGAGATGTTTGGCACAGAGAGCCTGCTGATGAATGATACAGTGAAGTTTAACAGCGTTACTTGCTTCTTCGCTGACTTTATGGCAGATCAGTGTGGACAATCCGCTTCGCTTACCAGCCATGGCAGGTGCACCATCAGTAATGATCCTAGAAACTTTACTCCATGGTAGCTTCATATCATCAACAGCTTCACAAACAGAAATGAATAAATCCATTCCTCTGGTTTGACCCTTAAGACTTTTGAGATCCAGCAGCTCCTCTGTCACGTTCATCTTGCCGTTGACTCCTCGTAAAAAAAAATCCGCAGTTGCGCGGTGTCAGATGCATCGGTGCTTTCATCGCAGGCTAATGAGAAATAATCAAAATCCACTCCTCTGTCCCGCAGCTGTCTGTGAATGTCTGATGATATATCCTCAACTCTTCGTGCCACAATGTTGCGTGCCAAGCAAACACAGAAATTCTTGCTTCTTCTCGGGGAAAATGTTCTCCATCATTTTCATGACACAGTCTTTGATAAACGTACCTTCAGTGAAAGGTTTGCCATGTTTAGCTATTAACATAGCCACTTCTTAGCTGGCTTTCGTGATATTTTCATGTGTCTCACAGGCCCGCATGAAAAATCGCTGTTGTGAAGCCAGAGCAGCTTGGAGTTGCTTCACTTTTTCAGCACGCTCACTCCCTGTTAGCTTGTTATATGTTGCAGCATGTTTAGTCTCGTAGTGTGTCCTGATGTTAAAATCCTTGAACAAGACAACAGTCTCTTTACAAATCAGGCAAAAACAATTGCCTCGAATTTCAGTAAAATTCCCACCGCTCCTGGAAGCGGTGGCCCTCACCATCAACCTTTCTCTTTTTTTGTACAGTCGCTATGGCAGAAATGAGCAGAGAAGGGCGGGCTTGCAGCACAGGTGCAAGTAGCAGACAAAAATGTGTTGAAAAAAGGAATTACACCTTTAAAGTCATGATTTATTTATTCAGACTTAGAAAGTGAGCCATAAATTATACATAATTAGACTGAAGCTGTGGGCCAGACTTTGGACATGCCTGACGTAAAAACTCCAAAACACGTACAAAACACAACAGAAGTGCTCCAGGATGCTAGGCGCAGTGTTGAGTTTTTGTTACCTAGTGGCTACACAAGCCAGCAAGTACCAATGACCGGATTTGTTGTGTGGTAGTAACAGGTAAATGAAAATTTTTTTAAATTATTTGAATATATATGAGTGCTTGTGTATAAATACACAAACCATACACATATGCTTTCAATTGTGTAATTTAAGTAATTTTAGGTAGCTCTGTTTTGGAAGTTCAGTTAACGCTAGAAATGTGTTTTGGAGTTTGTACGTGCTTTTTGGAGTTTGTACGTGCTTTGTCTCTAGGGGCCACCGCATATATTTATATATAAAAAATACATAAATAAAACCAACTTTTTTTTTACATTAGTAATTCCTTTTGTGCATAATTTTATATTATTGTTAATAATAAATTAATTACAGCAACAAAACAACCTGAAGAGTCGGTTCGGAGCCGAAGAGCCGGCTCTTTTTAGTGAGTCAAGCCGAAAGAGCCGGTTCTCTAAAAAGAGCCAGAAATCCTATCACTAGTGTGTGTGTGTGGTGTCGAGACATAGACTCCAATAGACCTTTAGTATGCTGTGGTATGCCATCATGTGATATGCTGCAGCCTGCATGCCAAATATCTTTGGGCAAGATACTAACCCCATGTTGCTCTCCAATGCATCTATTGGAATATGACTGCATGTGAATGTTAAATAGAAAGCACTCAGAAACAGTGTAGAAAAAAGTACTTGTACAAATGGGTGCGCTGCTTTTTTGCATGTAAAGCACTTTGAGTGCTCAGATAATGTAGAAAAGTGCTATATAAGAACCAGTCCATTTACCTGTAGCTTGTCTGGTTCTCAAAATCCCCAGCTTGCTTATAAGCCATCTACTGACTGGCACCGACACTATCATCGTGATTTATTGCCAAGTACTTAGCTGCTTGCCCACTGTCCTGTTCCCACCACCTTCCAAGCTCCAGTCCCTGTACTCTTTTAATCCCTGCTGTTTTATCTACTCAGCTTGCACTGTCCTGCTCCTTAAATTCACCTGCTGCCCTTTATTTATCTCCAGTGACTTCGTTTTTAAAAAAAGACAAACTTAATTGAAAAACCTATTCCTCTGCTGTAATTCAGCCTGCTTGTTGCTTCGTCTTGTAATCGGAAGGTTGCCGGTTCGATCCCCGGCTCGGACAGTCTCGGTCGTTGTGTTCTTGGGCAAGACACTTCACCAGTTGCCTACTGGTGGTAGTCAGAGGGCCCGGTGGCACCAGTGTCTGGCAGCCTCGCCTCTGTCAGTGCGCCCCAGGGCAGCTGTGGCTACAATGTAGCTTGTCATCACCAGTGTGTGAATGTGTGTGTGAATAGGTGGATGACTGAATGTAGTGTAAAGCGCTTTGGGGTCCTTAGGGACTAAGTAAAGCGCTATACAAATACAGGCCATTTACCATTTACCATAACGTAACAAGTTATATTGGGCAATATTATGTTATATAAGTTATAACATATTATGTTAACTTTCTCTTCTGTTTATGAATATAAGTAACTAACGGAGATCCTCTTTAAACATTTAGATATATCTTAAATATCATTTTCCAGAGATACCTGAAATGTATTACCATATTCTTTAACAGTGTATATCAAGTCCTCTGGCTCTGATGACATTGTAGGTGGACCCGTTAGAAACATTGTGCTGGTTTCTGTGTTAATGTCCTGTGACTGAAGAAAAAAAAATCCCATCGACACAGATTATTTGTCTGCTGATATTTAGACAAATAATAGAATATAATGAATAACAAATTGAACAAAAAGAATAAAATACTGCTGACAGTCAAAGTTTACTTTTTTTAAAAATGTTATTAATAAAAAGCAAGTTGACTTCTAATGAGAAGTTAACATCTGTCAGTTATGTTCTTAAAGCTTTTATCTGTTGAATTCAGAAATTTATTATACAAGTGTTAGTATGAATGTTTAATGGTTTATAGACTGACCAATATGATGTCATTTTACTGATGAGGACAACTGTGACAGGAGAACCCAATAATAGAGACCTACTGTAAAGGCATCCCAGCCAATTTGCTTATCCTTTTGCATAATATAGAGGCAAAGAGGTTGCGCTTTTCACGTTTCTCAATTTTATGTCTCCCATCTCTACTGTATCTTGAGACTGAAACAATTAAGTCAGTTTGGCATCTTACAGGTTGTCTCATTTCCTAAAATGCATCTGGAGGGCAGAGGAGTCCAGTCAGCATCACTGTAATGATGTACGCTTTTGTAAGTTTTATCTGCAATGCATAGAAGAGGAGCTACAAAAAGTTACAAGTAATAAATAATACACAAATAATGAGATTTCTAAATTCAGCATTAATTTGTATTCTTAGTTATTTAAGATGATTAGGTATGTAGTCTAACTTTCTACCCTTCACCATTTGTAAGAGTGCCCAAAAAATGGATATCTGGACATTTGCCATGCTCATCTATCAGTAATCAGAACACACAGCAGTGCTCTGGAAATTAGACAATAGACAGATGATGCAAATGTGCCACACACTTTTTTAAGTGACTTCAATTTAACACGATGCAGTAAAGCTGTCCTATCACTACAGTGGCTGACTGGACTCCTCTCTCTCCTCATGTCTCTTTCTTAGAGGAAGGGGAGGGACTAAGACTGGAGGGACTAAGACTGCTTGGAGAGGAGGCAAGGAAAAGAACTGACAATAGCTCCTATTCCCCAGTCCATTACAACAAATACAAAAACAGCATACAGCCTTCCTGCAAACATCCACTCCATTGAAAGGGTGGACAGCAGCATGAAAGAGATACTGGGAAAACCCTTTAGCAATCAAACATATTTGCTGCATAACAATGACTTTGTATAGATTCCTTTTACCTTAATATGCATGGATAAAACAGCTTAAAGATACTGTCATTTAAAGTGTAATGTTCTGATGTCCCCGAGTGACAGTCCTGTGGTTCAGAGAGAGGGCTCAAAGATGAAGTAAAAGTCATGATTTACTGGGACAAACTGAGTGAGAGACACTGCTGGCAGCCAAAATGGTCATTCATTCTTGTTCTTGACGCTGCCCCTCATAAGGGTTGAGGATTTTTGTCCTTTGTGTTGATTTTGTCATTATTCACAGTGTTAATGTGCAAAAGCAAAGTTTTGAGGGAAACTTACCATTGTTCTGTTGTAGTGAATCCAGCATGGCATACAGAGGACAGTGAAAAATGAGACCTCTTGGTCTTCTGCTTTTGACTGGCTGACCGCTCTGTCCGCCCTACCAACACCTCTTTAGCTACAAGTACGAGTTTCGCAACACATTTACTGTAAGACGTGTTGCCAATGTCAAAGCGAGGAAATTCATGAATTTGTAACTCGAGAGGATGCAATTGAGCAGTTGTATTCACTAATTTGAGAGGTTGCAATCACAGAGCTTTGGTTGTAAGTTGTAAAAAAATACGTAAAATTTAAATTCGAAATTTAAATTTTGTTTGTGCAAATATAAGTCTATTTGTGCATGTTTATTCTGTAACTAAATTTAACACACGTGTGAAAGCACAAAATAATAATGAAAATTTCAAAATACAAGTTTAATTTTTTTCTAAACACATTTTATTCTACAAGCTCTCAAATTTCGTAACATTTCCCTTGGTGTGTGATTATCAACAAATTAAGATTCAGTTTGTAGTATGATTGCAGTCATACTTGCACACGGGGCATTTATGAAATGATGGATTTGTGTGTCGTATTCACCTTCAAATCACGGTAAACGACGTCACGTGAATGGAGGTACTCAAGTGCTGATACAATCTCAGCACCATAGAAGCGTGCCCGGTCTTCTGTGAAGACTCGTTCACGTGAGAGGTGGAAGAAGAGCTGAAGAAAACAGAGCAGAGAGAGTCAAGCACTTACCTGGTGTTACACAAGATCTGTCTACGTGTAAATGGTTAACTCTTGAACTGGGTGCATCCCATATGACTGATGAGTTGATTATGGTTGTAGGATATGGGTCTCACCTCGCCTCCATTAGCATATTCCATTACAAAACAGAGTCGATCGTGGGTTTGGAAGGCATATTTCAGTGTCTGTAAGAATGTTATCACAATGAAAAAAATATATCAGGTACATAGCGAAGAATCCCTATGTAACTACTAACCATCAGGAGAAAAACAAACAAACAAAGTAAATAGAAAGAGGCCTTTGATTGGGTTTAAGAATTTTTAAGGTTCCTCAAAAATCAATTAAAAGACTAAATTTTCCCTTGCTTCTGATTTGAAGACTGTCAGATGGTAACAAAGAGAGGGAAGGTAGTCAGAACTGAGGGGATCGATCTACCAGAAGGCAACACTGCAGACATCGAGGACAGCTACAACTACCTGAGAATCCCATAGGCAAATGTGACCCACGAAGAGGCTGCTAGGAAAGGTGCAACCACCAAGTACCTGCAGAGGGTCAGGCAAGTCCCGAGGAGTCAGCTGAACAGTAAGGACAAGATCTGGGCTATCAACACCTACAACCTGCCCGTGATCAGTTACCCTGCTGGGATAATAAGCTGGCCAAAGGAAGAGATAGAGGCCAATGACATCAAGACGAGGAAGCTCCTGACCAATCATGGAGTCCAGCGCTTTGAGGTTGTATGCTAAGCAGAAGGAAGGAGGGACTAGTGAGTGTCAGTATTATGTCAGTATTATGGTCCAGGATGAAACAGCAAACATCCATGAATACATGGCTGTAGCTCAGGTGGCAGAGCAGGTCAGCCACTAATCAGAAGGTCGGTGGTTCAATCCCAGGCTGCCTCCTGGCTGCATGCCAAATATCCTTGGGCAAGATACTAACCCCATGTTTACCTACTGGTGGCGCCAGTGTCCAGCAGCCTCGCCTCTGTCAGTGCGCCCCAGGGCAGCTGTGGCTACAATGTAGCTTGCCATTGCCAGTGTGTGAATGGGTGAATGACTGAGTGTAGTGTAAAGCGCTTTGGGGTCCTTAGGGACTAAGTAAAGCGCTATACAAATGCAGGCCATTTACCATTTACCATCACAAAGATGGCCACTGACCGCGTGCTCAGTGAATATCTCAGGCAGCAGATACCCAAGAAAGAGATGCAAAAGGAGGAAGGACAAACCCCTGCACGGTATGTATCACCGTATGTATCAGTAGATAGAGGAAGTTGCTGACATCCAGAAATCCTACCAGTGGCTTGGACAAAGCTGGACTGAAAGACAGCAGAGGCACTAATCATGGCAGCACAGGAACAAGCTCTGAGCACAACAGCTCATAACAGCAGGGTGCAAGGCAGGGCATACATGGAACGCCATAACCAAGTGGCTGGCATAGTATAAAGAAACATCTGTGTCCCGAGGAAGTCCCGAGGTCAAAATGGGATACGCCTCCTAGAGTGGTGGAGATTGACCGAGCTAAGATCCTGTGTGACTTCCAGATACAGACAGACAAAATGTTGGTGGCCAACCAATTGGATATAGTAGTGGTAGACAAGCAGAAGAAGATGGCCGTAGTGATAGATGTAGAATTACCAAATGACAGTAACATCAGAAAGAAGGAACACAAGAAGATGGAAAAATACCAGGGGCTAAGAGAGACACTGAAGAAAATGTGGAGGGTGAAGGTAACAGTGCTCCCAGTGGTAATCAGAGTATTGAGTGCAGTGACCCCCAAGCTAGGCAAGTGGCTCCAGCAGATCCCAGGAACAACAGAAATGAGATCTCTGTCCAGAAGAGAACAATCATAGGAAGAGCAAAGGTACTGTGGGGGACCATCAAGGGGAATTTTATTTCTTTCATTTTTAGTCTTCTTTTGCACTGAGAGGAACTGAACCTTAATGACGTTGTTAAATGTTTCATTGGTCCAATGACAATAAATATCTACTGTTTGGTCACTTTTTAATATTATTCTCACCGTGAGGAAAGGATGTTTGGTGTTCTGTAACACTCGGCTCTCTGTAACCGTGTGGGCCACTTCATCCTGTCAGCAAACACAATTATAATTACAAACACAAAAAA